AGCATTGAGAAAGGCAGTTCTCTGGGAGAAGTAGTTGAACAGGTATAAAAAGATATTGTGTACTGTGCCATAACCAGAGAAGGCCTCTTACAGACAGGTCTGGACTGTAAGCCACTATCTCCCTTTTGCTACAGGGTATAACACGGGTGAGGAACGCCACCGATGCCGTTGGGATTGTGCTTAAAGAGCTAAAGAGGCAAAGTTCTCTGGGTATTTTTCGCCTCCTGGTGGCAGTGGATGGAGTGAATGCTCTCTGGGGAAGGACCACGCTGAAAAGAGAAGATAAAAGCCCGGTAGGAAAACTGAGTTTCTCTGTTCTGGTTTCTCTGATTTCTGGTGCCATATTATTTACTAGAGGCCCAGTGCATGAAAATTCATGCACTGGAGGTGGGGGGGGGGGGGTCCCTCAGCCCAGCCTGCCCCCTCTCACAGTCCGGAACCCTCATGGGCAGGAGTCAACCCAGTGATCAGGGGAAGGCGACACCCCCGTCACACCTCTGCTGCTGCCACTGCTGGCAGCGCAAGGCTTGGCCGGCCCTGGTAGCTTATCTCAGGCTATACTTTCGGCCTCTACTACGGTTAGGTAGTAGTAGAGGGTGTTTTACTTGTTATTAATTACTGGTGATTTGTCTCAGGGGAGCATCCAGGCAAAAGCAAATAATGGCCTCTTTCTGCTCCCACCCTCCCTCCCTTCGCACACTGACCACCGTGCAGATCGCCCCCGAGGAACTCGCACTTATTCACAACCTGAGGAAGATGGTGAGAAACGACTGGGTGAGTGCAAATGGTGCCGACACATTTCAGAGAGAGGTGTATTTCACTTCAGAGATCTTCCACTACTTCATTCCTCCTACTTTCCAGTCTGTAATTTTATGGACAGAAAGTTCTTTTATCTCGTTTCATTCCCATAACTGTACCAACTTTAAAATCTATATATTTGGTTTCTAATTTTTCCATTTAACTGGAGTAAGCTTATTCAAACCATTTTATTTAAATATTGGTGTAATTACTTTGCTTGCAATTGTTCAAATGTCTTTATATCTTCTGTCTTTTTTAGCTTTTTCTAATTGGCTTCTTCTCCTTTCTTTCAGAATGGAGGTGCCATCGTGTTGACTTTGAGCCAGACTGGGTCTCTTTTCAAGCCCCGGAACGCCTGCCTGCCCCAAGAGCTGCTGGGGAAGGTCAGGCCATTGGAAAATTTGTTTCTCTTAGTCATTCTGTCTAAAGACATCTTTTTTTCTTTTTTTTTTTTTTTTTACACAATATCAGACTTGGAGAAAAATTATATTCCTATATGACTTAACCAAATTCCTAAAATGTTAAGGTTAATCATATTTGCTTTAGTCTCCTTCCTCTTCATTCTTGTTTTCTGAATATGTGGCAGTAACCTGAGGATGCATGTATCTTTATCTCAAAATCATGTGTACTTCCTAAAACCAAAGATACCTCAATATATAACTAAAGCACAACTGACAAAATCAGAAAGTTGACATCAATACAGAACTGTTAACCTCATCTACAGAATTTCCTCTGGTTTTGCCAGAATGTCCCGGCATTCTTTACAGAAAGATGGTCCTGCATTACGTGTTGCACTCCGTGGTCGTGTGTCTTTGTCTCCTTTAACCTGGGACAGTTCCTCAGTCTCTGTCTTCTGTAATCTTAATATTTTTATTTTTATTTCTGAAGAGTACGTGCCAGCTATCTTAGGGGTTATTTTAAGAAGTTTCTGATGTTTTTCTCCTGATAATAAGCATCTTAGTGCGTGATATCAGAAGGCACATGAAACCTATTTCTCCTACAGTGTTAACCTTGAACACATAGTTAAGGTGGCATCTGTTTGGTTTCTCCTCAGTGAAGTTATTTTACTTTTATAGTGAATGAATAACCTTGTGGATGTATTCTTTCAGACTAGGTAAATATCCTGTTATTCCTCAAATTTCTCCTTATAGTTTTAGTACTCATTGGTGATTCTTCCTAAATCAGTTATCATGATAATTGCAAAACAGATATATTCTAGTTCCATCATTTCCTCTAAATGTATCAGCTGGCTTTCTATTATATTAATAATTTCCCCTTCTACCTTATATATTTATTTCAGTACAGACATGTGGATTCTTAATTTTTACTACCATTATTTATTTTGATGCTTAAATCATCCCAGATTTGGCCAGTAGGTGCCCCTTTAAGCTTACCCTGGATGCATATGGGCTACTGATACTCGGTTAAAGGCACCTTCTGGTCCATGGTTGGGCAGTTATTTATTTGTGTGTGTGTGTTTTGTTTTGTGGGGGTTTTTTTGGGGGGGGCAGGGGGGAGCAGTGTTAATACCCACCATTTCTAAGCCACGGAAAACTGATAGAGAAGAGTTTATTTTCAAGATGAATTCCTGCCCTGGCTGGTTTGCTAAGTGGATAGAGCATCAGCCTGCAGACCAGAAGGTCCAGGGTTCGATTCCAGTCAAGGGCACATGCATGGGTTGCGGAGGCAACAGATCTATGCTTCTCTCTCATCATTGATGTTTCTATCTAACTCTCCCTCTTCCTTCCTCTCTAAAGTCAGTAAAAATTTTTAATTGAATTCCTAATGAGGTCAACATAGAACACAGTTGCCTGAACAGCACACACACAGGCAACAGGTAGTAGATGAACCAGAAGGAGAAGAGAGGGTATCTTTAAGAGTATGCGTGGCCTGGTGTGCACATGCCTTGTATGTCACTTAACACTTACTGAATCTTTATTCTTTTTCCTCTCCAGGAGGGATTTGATGCTTTGGATCCCTTTATTCCTATCCAGGTGGCCAACTATAGCCCAAAAGAATTTGAAAGCTGTATTCAGTATTATATGGAAAACAGTTGGCTTCAACATGAGAAAGGTCAGTAGTTTGGTTTTCCTGTAAGGACTTTATGCTGTCAGCAGGATCCCACTGTCAAAGCCTTGATCTCGTCTTCCCTCAAGAGTAGTGTGTCATTTGTATTTCATCTTTTCCCCTTTATCTTGACTTCTTCCTGGCTGACCACATGGTACAGAAAGGGGGGGGGGGGGGAGATTTAATTTATCTCTTCCTAAATTCTCAGAGTAGTCTAAAGTAAAATAATCATGCTAAGAGAGGAGACTGGACCAAGCCCAGTCATTTGGTTCAGGTTGCTGCCACACTCTCATTGTTGCATTTTTCTTTTCTTTTTTTAAATATATTTTAGATTTTGTACGAGAGGAAGGGAGAGAGATAGAGTTAGAAACATTAATGAGAGAATCATCGATCAGCTGCCTCTTGCACACCCCCTACTGGGAATATGGCGGCAACCAAGGTACATGCCCTTGACCGGAATCGAACCTGGGACCTTTCAGTCCCCAAGCCGACGCTCTATCCATTGAGCCAAACCGGTTTCGGCTGTATTTTTCTTTGTTTTTGTGTGTGTGTGTTTTTTTTTTAAATCTTTTTTGTTCATTGTTGCTTTTATTCATCATTCGACAAACTTCAATTGATTCATATGCTAGACACCCACAGAATAGTTGACTCATATACCCTCCCCCCAACAAACCAAATCTTTGCTATTCCTGTCCTAGTCTTGTACATGAAAGCAATCAAGCTGTTCTTTTTATCCTTACCCTTGGCTGGAGAAGGATATAGAGGAAAAGTCAAAGTTGTTCTATCAATAGATCATAGAGAATTCGCTGTAATTAGAATATGTTACTAAAGGAAAGCGTATATATAAAGCAGCTGCAACCTGATGGGCTGGGAAGCACAGTGAGGAGGTTTGGGTGGTTGGGAGATCTGACCATGTCCTAACATCCAGAAGGTAATCTTGGAATAGTGGGAAAGATAAACGCTGGATTGGAAGAATAGAGACAGAAAGGGAAAGTGTGTGTAGAAAATATAATCGTTTATTAGGATAAAGGCTGTAGAAGTGAGGTCTCTTGGGAGTGCTGATGGCATCAGAATGTAATCTCGATAACATAGCCTCTACAGAATTCTCTGGGTGTAACATGATGCTTCAGGAGAAAACTGCCAATTATCTGTGCTCGACTCCATTTCAGCTCATACAGAAGAAGGTAAAAAGGAGCTGCTGTTCCTAAGTAATGGGAATCCTGGGCAGCTGGAGCGGCTCTGTGCCTACCTCTAGGCCATGTCACAGCATCCGTGGAAGGCAGTGGACAGTAAGGCCGATCAGATGGGGGCATCCCGCAGTACACAGAGCTGTGAGACTGGACAGTACTGCACATCAGCTCCCAACTTCGCTGAAATGGGTTCCTTGTAAAGTGACTATAATGGCAATAAGACATCCTCTTGTTCCTGAAACTAATATCAGTTTATTATATGTGGTTTTCACATTTTAATCAATCATGTATCTTTTCCTTAAAAATTAAATTATCTTTCTTAAAGTGTTGTGTTATATCTCTGCGATGGGAAGAGTATTCAGATTGGCCAACTTTTACACTTTTATCCGTGGACCTTGAGAACCTTACTGACACTCCACCTCAACCTGGCAGCTTTGTACGGTACAGCCCCTCATACAGGTTCCTGAAGGAACTGAGTAGTAAACCCTGACAGAATACATTGTAATGATTAAATTGTCCTTCATGCATACTAGCTGTGTACCATCTTTGGGAGATTTGAGAAATAAATTTCAACAGAGTTAAAATTGTCTGACCATCCCCAAGTTCTTGGTATTGAGTCCCAAATCTACCACTTAATGGCTATCTGTCTGAGGGTCTCTTACCCTCTTTCCTTCTTTGATTTCACCTTATCTCTGTTTTACTACATAAGGCCACTCTACAAGTACAGGAGACAGCATCTCCACCTCATACATAGAAACAAGCACAGGGAAGCAGCCAAACTGACAAGACAAAAAAAATAGTTCCCAAATTTAAAAACAGGAGAAAACTTGAGAAAAAGAAACTAAATGAAAGCAAGCAAATTATCAGATATAGAGTTCAAAATATAGGTAGAAGGATACTCTAGGAATTTAGTGAGCACTTCAGTAGCATAAAAAAAGACCTGGAACACCTACCTGGCAGGGGAGATACCACGATCACAAAAGTGATTTTCCCAAAGTGAGGATACACTGCACTCGGTGTGTGGACCCCTGGGGTTTCCCCAAATGTGGGGAACTCAGCTGCATAATTTCTGGTAGTAGGAACTGCATTTGCGTTCTCCCCTGAAACAAAAACAGACTTGGAGCCCTAGCCAGTGTGCTCACTGGTTAGAGTGTTAGCCCATGCACCAAATGGTCTAGGGTTCGATTCCCAGCAAAGGGCACATGCCTGGGTTGTATGTTTGATCTCTAGCCCCAATCAGGGTGCCTCTGGGAGGCAGCCAATTAATGTCTCTCTCCCATCAATGTTTTTCTCCCTCTTCACCTCTCTTCCTCCCTCCCTCCCACTCTAAAAAATCAATGGAAAAATATCCTCAGATGAGGAGTAACAAAAAAAATTTTAAAAGGACATAGAAACCACAAAAAAATCAGATGAAGGATACACTAAAGAAAATAAATGAGCCGAAGCCGGTTTGGCTCAGTGGTAGAGCGTCGGTCTGCGGACTGAAAGGTCCCAGGTTCGATTCCGGTCGAGGGCATGTACATTGGTTGCGGGTGCATCCCCGGTAGGGGGTGTGCAAGAGGCAGCTGATCGATGATTCTCTCTCATCGACGTTTCTAGCTCTCTATCTCTCTCCCTTTCTCTCTGTTAAAAATCAATAAAATATATTTAAAAAAAGAAAATAAATGATCACTGGGCCATGTGTAGGTGGGTATGGAGTGCTCACCAAGTGTCTGCCCCCTTTGCCTAAGGGGTCAACTTCCAGGCTCCTCCCACATCTTTTGAGGGCCTGGGGCTGCAGGCAGGACCTGCGGAACAGGTGACCGGCTGGGGTTCCGGGCTCAACAGGTCCCAGGAGCTGCAGGGGAGCGCTGGGGGGTGCCGGGTGCTGAATGGGGGCCCAGGGATGAGAGATGCTGCCACGAAGGTGGGGTGGCATCGGGGACTTGGACCAGGAGGCGCCTGGGCAGGGCCACCCCTCACAGAGCGAATGCAGGGAGTCTGCTGGTTTGTAGGCCCCGAATCAATTCATTTCGAGGGAAAACAAAGGAAGGCAGGAGGCGTGAGCCAGATGGGAAAAATCATGGCACTTTGTAGTCAAAGGCACAGAAGGCGAGGGGAGGCGGGACGTTCTCGCAAGGCCCTCGCCCCGGTGCAGCGGGACTCCCCGGGGTTCCCAGCTGGAGGGACCGAGGGACAGAGCACGGCCCGGAGGCTCTGGTGCCAGGACAGGACCCCTGTCCTTTGGGGGCAGAGCGGGGGGTGAGGGGAAGGGTGGAGCCCCTCAGAGCAAATGGCCACAGGGTGAGGGGCCGCTTACCCAGAGGTCACAGGTCGAGACAGAGGCTCTGGGCGGCCGAGGGTTCCATTCTGAGCTCTGTCCTTTCACTGCCATGCACCCGCGAAGGAAGAAGCCACTTGCCCTCTCTGTGCCTCTTCACCTGTACAATGGGCACGTGAACAAGGGGGCGTGGCCACGCGGGCAGCCGGAAGTATGCGATTAAGCAGGGGCGGGGCCACGTAAACTACCAGAGGATACACGTGAGCAGGGGGCGGGGTGGTCACCTGCACACTGGACAGCCGGAAGTGGTCACCTGAACACAGTGGAGGGTTCTGTGAGTACATAGAACAAAATGAGAGTCACAAAATATACCGAGCAAAACAAGAATATGTGCTCCAGGAGAAGAAGAAAAAGGAATATGTGCTCTGATTTATTTACATAAAATGCTGGATAGAGAGACAGATAAAGATAGTTCACAGGGTTGGACATCAGGAAGGTTGTGACTTTTTGAGCGGAAGAAAGGGCGCGTGGAAAGCTTTAGGGGAGCAACTTTTCCAACAAGCTTTTAATTTCGCCGGAAGCAGAAATATCCCGAGAGAAGAGTCAAACGCTGCAAGAGCCGTGAGAAGTAGGGAAAACACCGACTGCCCCGCCCCCACCTGGGCAGCAGAGACAACAGCACTAGGAACGCGCCAGCCAGGGCGTCGGCTCAGGCGCCTGCAACTTCCGGCGTGGGCCCCACCCCTTGGCAACCACCAGGAAGGAGGACTCGTCCACGACAGGAAGAGGCGGGGATGAGCGGTGTCTCTAAAGCCCAATGAGTCGTTTATCCTCTGGGAAAAGACGTATTAGTGGCCCAATAGGGCTCAGAGGATGAGGCCCCGCCTACAAGGCTGCGGCGCCAATCGGCTGCGAGCAGCGAGTGGGCAAGCGCCGGTTTTGCGACGGGGAGGCATGGCGGGCGGCGCCCGGGAGGTGCTCACGTTGCAGTTGGGACATTTTGCGGGTTTCGTGGGAGCGCACTGGTGGAACCAGCAGGTGAGGTCCCTTGGCAGTTGCCCCCAGCCGAGCCTTTCGGGGGCTCCAGCCCTTACCTCCGGCTCGCCCATCTTGCCTCCCCTCAGTCCGGCCCCTTTCCTGCCTCCTCAGGATGCTGCGCTTCATGAACGGACCGATTCCCAGGAGCAGCCGGGGGAGCTGTGCCCCGACGTCCTGTACCGCACCGGCCGCACGCTGCACGGCCAGGAAACGTACACGCCCAGGCTCATCCTCATGGATCTCAAGGGTGAGGCGGTGGCCGGGGTCGGCCAATGCCCATTTTCTCCTTCGCGTCGGAGTCTCGAGCATCCGTTCGTTTGCGCACCCTCTGACCACACTAAGCCCCAGGGCAGATGAGTTGCCCAGGGAGAGCTAACCACAATATGCAAATACCCGAGGGACGCAGGAAGGCAAACCTTGATTCCGTTCAAGGGCCATCTCCTCTAGGACCGCTGGGTGGTCTTTGCCTCAGGCCTCCCAGCGAAGGAAAGGAGGAAATCTAGATTCTCCTAGGCAATGTCCCCCCCCCCCCCCTTATGTATATTCAAGAAAGCTTGGAAGTGCCAAGTGTTGGAGGGATGGTGATGGCAGGTTTCCAGTTGATCAGAGGAAGACCAGGGAGGGACTAGGCTTTGATTTCACAGTTCCTGTTATTTTTGTGCAGGTAGTCTGAGCTCCCTAAAACAAGAAAGTGGACTCTACAGGGACAAACAGCTGGACGCTGCAATAGCATGGTACTTGTCGTTTGGAGAAGAGTGGGAGGTGTGCACAGAAGGCTGGAAAACAGGCAAACCGGCTATGATCAGCCTCCAATTTCTTTAAGGCAGGGGAAGCTCACCACTCACAAAGAGGAGCTCCACCCCAAGAATCCGTACCTCCAGGATCTCCTGAGTGTGGAGGTGAGGGCCTCAGCCCTGAACTGCGTTTTCAAATTGTAGGAGAAAGTTTATTATAATAAAGTTAAAAGTGAGCCATAGAAGGAACAAGTGGCTAAGGAAACAAGCTACAGAGACAAAAGAAAGGTTTAGGAAAGGACCATGGGAAAAAAGATTTGAGAGGGTGTGCTCTGGGGAGGGAGGGACAGACAGACTGCTCTGAACTTGCACGCTGAGTGCTACAACCACAGTGCGTCTTCTGGGTCAGAGAAATAGAGGATTTCAATAATCTAAATGCCTTAAATAGCGTTTTTGGAAGAAGCACTTTTCTTCCTAAAGGATTGTGACTAGAGCCCAAACAGTGTGGCTCAATGGTTGAGCACCAACCTATGAAACAGAAAGTCACTGTTCGATTCCCGGTCAGGGCACATGCCCAGGTTGCAGGCATGATCCCCAGGGTGGGGGAGGAGGGAGGTAGTGCAGCAGGCAACCTATCGATGGTTCTCTCTCATCAGTGATGTTCCTGTCTCTCCTCCCTTCCTATCCGAAATCAATTAAAAATATATCTTAAAAATAAATGTTAAAAAAGAGACTGTGATTACATAAACAGAAAGGAGGCTGTAGGGCGTGGCCAGCAAAATCAGGGAGGATAAACTTTTTGTCTTTAGTCTGCCTGGAACTAAATATTGATTTTTCTCATCCCTCCCAGGGAGTGCTGAGTAGTGATGGTATCTGGAGGGTCAAATCCATTTCCAATGGCAAAGGTGAGAGTTGTCCAGGTAGAGTGCATGATGGGAAGTGGGCAGGGCAGGAACATGGAGATGAATTTCCTCTAATTTTCCTTTAGGTCCCAAACCACTCACCACTGCTGCAACTCCAGAGCCACTTATCCCCACAGAGGGCAGCATCCGAGTCTGGTCAGACTTCCTCAGAGTGCACCTCCATCCCCGGAGCATCTGCATGATTCAGAAGTACAACCATGATGGGTATGGGGCATCCCAGAGGCTGTGAGGCAAGAAACTGGGTCCCTACCGATGTCGGATGGGAGATCTTGCGGAGGGGCTGGGGAAGGGGGGAGCAGGACCCTGCAACCCCTGGACTGTATTTATGCACGATAGTGAAGCAGGTCGCCTGGAGGCTTTTGGCCAGGGAGAGAGCATCCTGAAGGAGCCCAGGTACCTAGAAGAGCTGGAGGACAGGCTGCACTTCTACGTGGAGGAATGTGACTACCTACAGGTAGCTGTGGGCATAGTAGACACTGGAGTAAACTCTTCTCATCCTACTTTTCTTAAGATTTTTAAGTTGAGTTTTGGAGAGAGGGAGAGAGAGAGACATTAATGTGAAAGTAACACATCAATTGGGTGCCTCCTGCACAATCTCTACCGAGAACCAGCAACCTTTTGGTGCCTGGGACTATGCTCAGCCGAGCCAGACCCACCAGGCTCCTGCTGTCTCATCGCTCACCTCTCCAGGGCTTCCAGATCCTGTGCGACCTGCATGATGGCTTCTCTGGTGTAGGCGCTAAGGCCACAGAGCTGCTACATGATGAGTATTCAGGGCGAGGGATAATGACCTGGGGCCTGCTCCCTGGTCCCTACACTCTTGGGGTGAGTCGAACTTGGAAGGAAAAACTCAGGGTATGGAGGGAGAGATGAGGGAGTGATAGCCCAGCGAGAAAGTTGCTTAGAACAAACTCCTCTTTCAGGAGCCCCAGAAAAACATCTATCGTCTGCTGAACACAGCTTTTGGTCTGGTGCACCTGTCGGCTCACAGCTCTCTCGTCTGCCCCTTGTCCTTGGGTGGGAGCCTGGGGCTGAGGCCTGAGCCACCCGTCAACTTCCCTCACCTGCGTTATGACGTAAGGCTCGATGCTCTTGTTCTGCTATTAACAGGGGCTCTGTCCCACTCACCAAGTCAGTCTGTTCTTG